ATTTTTCAATATTTTGCCCATAGAATCTTACAGTATTACAACTCAAGGCTTGAATTTTTTCTTCAGTTCTTTCAGCTTGAGAAATGCTGAGCATGTTCTTCCTTTTTGGTTTCCTAGATCCAGGTCTTTGCACATTTCAGTATAATACTTTACTTTGTTTTCTCAAGCCACCCTTTGAAATCTTCTGTTTAGCTCTTTTGCGTCATCATTTCGTCCATTCACTTTAGCTGCTCTACATTCAAAAACAAGTCTCAGAGTCTCTTCTGACATCCATTTTGGTCTTTTCTTTCTTTCCTGTCTTTTTAATGACCTTTTGCTTTCATGTATTATGTCCTTGATGTCATCCCAGAACTCATGTGGTCTTCAGTCATTGGTGTTCAATTCATCAAATTTATTCCTGAGATGGTTTCTAAATTCTGGTAGGATATACTCAAGGTCGTATTTTGGCTCTCATGGACTTGTTTTAATTTTCTTCACCTTCAGCTTAAACTTGCATATGAGCAATTGATAGTCTGTTCCGCAGTCTGACCCTGCCTTGTTCTGACTGATGATATTGAGTTTTTCTATCATCTCTTTCCACAGATATAGTCTATGTCATGGATTGAACTGTGTCCCCCAAAAAATGTATGTATCAATTTGGCTAGGCCATGATTCCCAGGATTGTGTGGTTGTCCTCCATTTTGTAATTGTAATTTTTATATTAAAGAGGATTAGACTGGAATTGTAACACCACCCTTACTCAGGTCACATCCCTGATCCAATGTAGAGGGAGTTTCCCTGGGTGTGGCCTGCACCACCTTTTATCTCTTGTAAGAGATGAAAGGAAAGGGAAGCAAGTGGAGAATTGGGGACCTCATACCACCAACAAAGAAGCACCTGGAGCAGAGCATGCCCTTTGGGCCCGAGGTTCCTGCACAGAGAAGTCCCTAGTCCAGGGGAAGACTGATGATGACGAGGACCTTCCTCCAGAGCCAACAGAGAGAGAAAGCCTTCCCCTGGAGCTGATGCCCTGAATTTGGACTTCTAGCTGACTAGACTGTGAGAAAATAAATTTCTCTTTGTGAAAGCCATCCACTTGTGGTATTTCTGTTAGAGCAGCACTAGATGGCTAAGACAGTCTATTTGATTCCTGTGTATTCCATCTGGGGTGGTCCACATGTATAGTCGCCATTTATTTTGTTGAAAAAAGGTATTTGCGATAAATAAGTTGTTGATCTTGCAAAATTCTGTCATGGGATCTCCAGCATCATTTCTATCACCAAGGCCATATTTTCCAAATCTTATCCTGCTTCTTTGTTTCCACCTTTCACATTCCAATAACCAGTTGTTATCAATGTATCCTGAATGCATGTTCGATCAATTTCAGACGGCAGAAGTTGGTAGAAATCTTCAATTTCTTCATCTTCGGCATTGGTGATTGGTTCATAAATATGAATAATAGTCATATTAACTGGTCTTCCTTATAGACATATGGATATTATCCTATCATTGACAGTCTTGTACTTCAGGATAGATCTTGAAATGTTCTTTTTGATTATGGATGTGACACCATTTCTCTTCAATTTGTCATTCCCAGCATAAAAGACCGTATGATTGTCTGATTCAAAATGGCCAATACCAGTCCATTTCAGCTCACTAATGCCTAGGATATCAGTCTTTATGCACTCCATTTCATTTTTGTTGACTTCCAATTTTCCTAGATTCATACTTCATACATTCCATGTTCCAATCATTAATGGATGTTTGCAGCTATTTCTCCTCATTTTGAGTCATGCCACATCAGCAAATGAAGGTCTCTGAAGCTTTACTCCATTCACGTCATTAATGTTGACTCTACTCTGAGGAGGCAGCTCTTCCCCAGTCATATTCTGAGTGCCTTCCAACTGAGGAGCTCTTCTGGCACTATATCAGACAGTGTTCTGATGCTATTCATGGGGTTTTCACTAGTCAATTTTTTTAGAAGCAGATCTCCAGGTCCTTCTTCCTAGTCTGTCTTAGTCTGAAAACTCCCCTGAAACCTGTCCACCATGGGTGACCCTGCTGGTATTTGAAATACCAGTGGCATAGCTTCCAGCATCACAGCAACACGCAAGCCACCACAGTACAACAAACTGACAGACAAGTGGTGGAATGTAGAGAAGCTTATTAACCATGGAGTGTGAATTCAAGAGGGCACCATGGAATGTTTGAGATGGAGAGCTGCAAGGAGGGGCATTAGAGCAGTTTGGAGGTGAGATTCTTCACTCTCCCTCACCCCACCTCCACTCTTATCAGCAGGTCCTATAGATTATAACTTCTAAATATCTTTTAATCTTTGCACATCCTCCATCCAGTCCAAGCCTCCATGATCTACCACCTGGACCACAGCAACAACCTCCTCGATGGTCTCCCTATATCCACTGTGCCCTCCTTTCACCAGTGTCCACCCCACAACAGTCAGAGTAGTCTTTCTAAAATACAAATCTCATCATGTCATTCCCTTGTCTAAAATCCCTCGCCAGGTCTCTGTTGCCCAAAGAATAGACAAAACCCATGCTTCCTAGTCTGAAATGGATGTGCCCACCTCGCATGGACTTAGAAGCCCCAGTCTCCTTCTCCACCCTCATCTCTCACCAGCCCCCCACTCATCCACTGTACTCAGCCCTGCTCAGCTCGTTGAAGTTCCCACTCCTGCTCCGCTTTTCTTTGCTCATGTTGCCTCCTCTGCCTGTAATCCTCCCTGACATGGTAGTACACCCAACCAAACCCGTTGCCATTGAGTCAGTTCCAACTCATAGTGACCCTATAGGACAGAGTAGAATTGTCCCATAGTGTTTCCAATGCTGTAATCTTTACAAAAGCAGACTGCCACATCTTTCTTCCATGGAATGGCTGGTGGGTTCAAATAGCTGACCTTTCAGTTAGCAGCCGAATTCTTAACCACTGTGTCACAAGGGCTTCTTATGGTAGTACACAGTAGGCAGTTAATATATATTTGCTAAAGGAGTTGCATAAGTTCTACTCATCTTTAGAAATCAGCTGAAGTACTATGTCATATATGAGGCCTTTTCTGATCCCCTCTCCATGCCAGGTATTGCTGACTGCACCCTCCTTGATGCATATAGTCGTCTATCTTAATGTCTATCTCACTTTACTGTGTTTATCTGATGTCTGTGTTGTCTTCCTTATTGTGATAGCATGGCAGATCCTTGAAGGTAAGGACTGTGTGATTCACTTTATTATCCCATTGCCTGACACAGTGTTCTGCACATAGGAGGTGCTAAGTGACTGGATGAAAGAAGCAGGAGTTGGTCCTTCACTGGAAATTCCTTGGAGAAAGCTAGAGGTTTTCTTGTGTTATAACAAGTGAGAGGAGAGGAGAAAGAGGACGCCACTACAGTAGAGAGGAGGAAGTTAACTTTGAGTACCAGAGTTCACTGGATAACCATCTACACACCTCTAGACTCCTTAGTATGATGCAGTAGTGGCCCCAGATGTAGCACATGGACCTAATCAGGCCCAGACTTGAGAGCCTGGCCTTGTCTCCACCCTTCAGGCTGAAGGAGGGGCTGCCAACCCCATTAGGAGAACCATCCAGACCCAATCAAGGATGAAAAGGAAAACTCAAGATACTCCTTAGGAGTAGACCCTACAGTCCTGATGCTTGGCCCCAGCCCCTATTCTCAGCCCCAGACAGTCTCCAGTTCCAAGTGGACCCTGGTCTGAGAGGCCCAAATACATCCCACCCACCCTCCTCAGCCTTTGAGGATTGTGAAGGAACCTTAGGCAGTTCTCCTGAACTAGAAAGGTCTGGAGCCTGTCAGGAGCCACTCTGTGACCTTGTCTCCCAATGCAAAACCCTGTATGGTGGTTTGCCTATCCACTCCTCTACCCACCAAAGCCCCACAAACAAAGGGCCACCAAGTTAAGAGTGGCTAAACCTGGGCCAGATGAGGCCATGGACCTATTTCCAGGTCTATTTCCTGGGTCTATTTCCAGGGCCCCTTTCTGAATGAACCCAAGGGATAGACTTGAATCCATATTTGTTGCCACTGGGAGGTGGGTAGTATTGTACCCATTTTATAGATGGGGCAATTGGGGCTAGAAAATGGAAGCATAGAATAAGGGCCCCCTGCTAGAGTCTCGGCCTATATTTTGAACAAAATAAACAAAAAACCTCCCAGCCTCAGTTGTCCCTGCTGGGGTAGGAAGGTAGGGATGAGGAACTCTCACCTGTGACCCAGCTGCTTATAGTCTAGACCCAATCCCCAGTCAAATGGTTGTCAGTCAGTTTGGAGTCTAAAGACTTGATCAGTTTGTGACCAGGAAAGAACCAAGCACTGTAGCCTTGACCAAGGTGATACTTGCTGGCCTAGATGATATAGACACCAGGGGACTTGGGGGTGGAGGGGAGAGTGTCAGATTCTCTCTGCCAGCAGGGCTCCTCTGTAAATATGTTCCATGGTGCCAGGTCCCTCTGTTCTCTTTCCTCTCTCCAGCTTGCCTCTGACACCCAGCTTCCCCACCCTCTATCTTATTCCATTTGTTATGCCTAGTTCATAGGAATCAAAGCCTTGTCTTCTGGCATGGTGCTGCCTGAAGCACCCAGAGCCTTAGTTTGAGGGCTCCCAAATAGAAGCCCTTCGGATGGCAACTCTGACCCTGTCCACTTTGCACAGGCATAGATGCCTCAGGCCCGATTGTTCCGCACACCTTGGGACCAAGCTATACTTAGTTATTAGTGAGTTGAGTCAAAGTCCTAGCTCTGCATCTTACTTGCTGTGTAAACTCAACATTTCTCTTCCTACTCTGGTCCTCTGTTTCCCACTGTGTATAGATGGTCTGGAAGAATACAGTTTATGATCCGGATTTAGAAATCATCTGTGTAGGAATGAGATTTGCCCTCAGCCTTCCCTTCCCTTGCTTCCCACAGCCTCATTTGAGCTTTAGAACCTCAAAAGAGAAATTGCTAAGATCTCAATTCAAAGAAACAAGTAAGATTGGTCCACAACCACAGACTCAAGTGAAGAAGAATTCTGGCTTTATAGTAAAGAAACTGGGGATGTAGGTGGGGCCAGACCCGCTTCAGGAGGCCCCTGAGTGACTGCAGCCCAGGAGGTTGGCCACGCTCTGAGGCTTGGGCAGGGCCTTGGCTGCATTTAGTTTGTCTACGTCACTGTAGCAGTAAACATTGGGGCCATGGATGAGGTACAAGCTGGGACCATTGGCAGAACATGAGTTGAGGCCAAGGGACTTTTCCACACACAGGGCCCCATCAACCTTCTCATGGGGCCAAGGGAGCTCCGTCCATATGCCTTGAGCTCCTAACTTCAGGTCCAGCCACCACAGCCGCCTTCCTGGGAAGAAAGCACCAAACATAATATGGCTTCCATGTCAGGGGAATACTGACCCAGCCCTTTGCATGCCCTAGTGGGGATTTGTGCCATGTCAGCAGAACATGACACCCCTTAGTACCCAGAAGCCCCTTACCTGCCATGATGTGGAGGTGAGAAGACCCAGGACAGGTAAAGGCTGCATCCACAGCATCAAGGCTTATCCCATGAGGGCTCCCAAGTTCCTTCTCCAGCCGTTTTGGATAATCATTTACTAGGGTATAGCCTCCCTTTGTCAAGAAGATATACACCTGGGTGCCCTGAAGAACAGAAGACATTAAGCAACATAGAGCTGGATATTCTTGCCCTAGTCTCTACCTCAGGCCTCTCCTTGAGCTAGCACATACCTGGACCAGATAGAGTTTGTCCTCCCAGGAAAAGGCAGCATCCACTGTGGAAGGGCCCTGGGGCCACTGGTGAGCAATGGGCCAGCTATGCCACCCGTCCCGGCTAGTGTCCAGACGCCAGTAGTGGGACCCTATGGGGCAACAGGGTTGCTCTAGTGCTGGTGATAAATGGCCAATCAATGAAGAGGCTAGTGACAGATGCAGGGGTGAGTCCTGAGAGGGAGGAGATAATGCATCCAGAGGCCAAGAGGGACTCTCAGTGTGAGAGGGAGGAGTAGATCAGGACCTGGGCAGCAATGTTGGGCATTGTGACTCAGTTGGAACTAGAGTCAGTAGGGGCTGACAGAAAGACAGGCATGGAGAACAGCGGTCAAGTTGCCAGGTAAGGCCAATATCACTGGGTTTGATGAGGGGCTCTCTGTGCCTCTCAGGTGTCTTTGTGCAGTGATGTGGTCATAGACAATGAGATATAATGGCCAGAAGTTAAAAGGAAGCACCACAGCAAGCTTCCAATGAGTCTTCTCACTCTGGGTGCGAGAGTGAGGGAGTAGCTAGGCTAGCATCCCATTTTCCTTCTCCCCTTCACGTAGCAACTTATCAAAGGAATTTTCTAGGCTGCCTTTTACCCTTTCTTACTCAACCCACTCCAGTTATACTTTTGTTTCCCTTTTCCACTGAAAAAGATCTTATCAAGCCACAGTATCTTCCATTTTGCTAAATCCAAAGGTCAATTTTCTGTCTTCATCTTACTGTAACTTTCAGTGGCATTTAACCGTCACCAATTCCTTCTTCTTTAAGCATCTTTTTTTGATCTTGGATTCTGTGATACCAGCCTGAAATCTAAATATTGGAATCCCTTAGGGCTTAGTTTGGACCTCTTCTCTGTCTACACTCACTCCCTCGGTGATCTCACCTAGTCCTAGAGCTTTGAATATCATCTATATACTGATAACTCTCAGTCTGTTCCCTTTAGCTCTGAACTTTCCCTTAAGTTTCAGACTCAAACTCAGTTGCCTACCTGATATGTCCATTTGGCTGTCTCATTAGGCACTCAAACCTAAAGTGTCCATACTGATTACTGCCTCCTCTAAGTACACAGAAATACACACACATACACACACACACACACACACATACACACACACTCCTCTAGTACTCCTCTAGTCTTTCCCAGTTTTAGAAAATAAAACCACCATCTACCTAGTTACCCAGTCCCAAAAAGTTGAGTCATTCTTGAAACCTCTCTTTTCTCTTCTTCACTGCAACCAATATCCAATCTAACATTAATCTGTCAACTTTACCTACAAAATACATCATCAATACACCTCACCACATTCTCTGTTGTCATCCTATCCAAGCCATCATCACCTCTTATCTGGACTACTGTAGAAACTACTAGCTGGATTCCCTGCTTACACAATTGTAGCTCTACAACATATTCTCCACAAGAAGACAAGACGATCTTTCTAAAAATAAATCAGAACATATCATGTCTCTGCTCAAGACCCTCTCATGATTTCTTTTCACTGTTGACAGTGACAGCAGTTCCGTGTAATCTGGACTCTGCCTCCCTCTCTAACCTATCTTGCTCCTTCACTCTTCTCCCATCACACTGGTTTTCTTTCCTGATTCCTCAAACTATTTGCTGTTAATCCTACCTAAAATGCATTTTCTCCTGTCAATTCTGACTCATGACAACCCCACGTGCTACAGAGTAGAACTGGGCTCCATAGAGTTTTCTTGACTGTAATCATAATGGAAGCAGATCACCATGCATTTTCTTCCACATTACCACTGGGTGGGTTCAAACTGCCAACCTTTAGGTTAGCAGTCAAGGGCAAACCATTTCTGCCACCTAGGGACCTTCCTCCTGTGCTTTGTGTGGCTAATTCATTTTCATTACTGAAATCTCAGCTCAAATATCATCTCCTCAGAGAAAGGACCCCTCATTCTGCTCACCTCTATCCCATTATCTTGTCTTATTTCTATCACAGCTCCTAATACTCTCTGAAAGTATTCTCTTTCCTTCTTTCTCTTCATTATGTCTTCTCTCCATCTAGCAGGCTCTATAAGGATAGACATCTTGTCTGTCATGTTGACTACTATAACTGAGTACCTAGAACAATGTCCAGTGCAATCAGGTGCTCTATAAATACCTGTTGAATTAAATGAGTGGTGTTCTCACTACAGTCACAAATTCTCTTTATAGCTGTGTACTGGGCATGTCGTAGTGACTGACATACCCAGCTTCCCCTCCTGCTAAAACTACCCTGCTCATTATGGCCCTCTACTTTGAGAACCAGTGCTATGCTGCTCTTTGTGCAGAGGGATTAACTGATGAGCTTTTTAACCTCTCAGTAGCCAAGACATAGGCTGGCCATCAACCACTTTAATATAGTCTGGTATGAAAATATGACCTGGGACAATTAGATTTCCTCTCTGAGAAATTCTGAGAAAAAGCTGAGCAACTGAGGCAGTTATCATTTGGAGTTGAAGCTGAAAATCATGAGGCAAAGAGAAGTGGAGAGGAAAGGATGGCCCATGTTGAAGTCAAACTTGTGAAGAAGCAGAAAGAATAAATAAGAAGCTATGAGGCAGAGAAAAGAGAAAGATCAGAGAGAGGAGAGGACCAGTCCCACCCTGAGTAGCTGGGTCACATTTGTGCTTTCACCAAGATAGTATATTCTCAACTCAGCTGGGTGTTTTTAACATAATGGTGTTCTCTCCATGGCTATGTGCTCTCTCAACAGCTATGGAACCTAACTAATACTTTTGGTTTAGGAGTAAAGAGCAATCATTAGCTTCAGCTGTATTCTCACCGTGGCCACATGGCCTTCCTACAGTTCTGTGATCTTCCCATGGCTGAGTGCTGTCCCTACATCTCTGAGTGGTTACTGGGGCCCTATTTTCTCAACCTACCTGTCAATCTTATTTTGTCTATGTGCTCTCATCACAGCTGTACGTTCTCCTAATACTCTCATGTTCTTACTACGACATTTGTTCTCAGTTTAGTTCTGTATTTTCACCAGTGTGTATGTTTCCATCACCACTTTATGTCCTCATTATGGCATGCATTCCTGATGTAGGGATATGATCTCTTTGTGGCTGTGTATTTTTCATTAATACTGGGCAGTCATATCTGACCAGACTTGTCGGGGGTGTAAGAGCAAAAAAAGTATTTTCACTATTCTATATTCTCACCACCACCTTGTATTTGTATCTGATTATATATATAGCATAGGCTGGTATAACACGGTTGTTCACTCCCGCTCTTGGAGCTGTTCTCAAGTGTGGAGAAGACTCATAATTACCTGTCTGCTTAACCCCAGAATATCTCTAGGTATTATTAGATAGCATTTACCAATTGATGTCACAGGTCAGGAGAGACATGTCTCCACTGGCCACTCAGAAGGGAAACATCAGGCCAGAAGTCCACCTCCTAAAAGCCTAGGGTACCCAACACTTCTTGGAAGGTTCTCAGCTATGGGAATACCTCATCTCCAGGGAATGCTGTACCAAGCCTTCTGGGAAAAGACAAAGCCTCTGAGTACCACTTCAAGGGGAGCCAGAAGATCTGGTAAGACATGGAGCAAGGGGGATATAAGAAGAGAACCATAGATGGTACTGAGAGGTAGACAGATGGATGAAGTTAGACACTTGAACAACGAGAAAAAAGGTTGAGAAATATGCAGCAGAAGAGATGAGAGACATGAAAGAGCATGTTAAAGGTGAGGGACAGATGGGGCAAGATAGGGACACAGTGATGAGGATGGCAGAAATAGGTCAGGGATGGAAGACCCAAGTGGAAGAGATGGGAGATATGGAGGCAGAGAAGGGGGAACTGGGGGGCATCTCTTACCACTGAAGGCATAGGTAGCACCATGGATGTCAGACAGCAGTGCAGACAAGACGAGATCTGGGCTACAGCGCCCAGGTCTATTCCCCTGGCCAGGGTAGGTACCATTACCATGGTCAGTCCCATTCCTGTGTCCAGGGCCATGGCCTAGGGGGAGTGGAGAAATAGGTGAGGGGAGCACAGAGGGAGGCCAGAGGTCAGAAGGATGTCTGAGGTAGAAGAGAAGGCTGGGATTGGTGGGAGTAGGGCTTCATATGAGGACAACAGGGACGAGCTAGGATGGAAATGGGGCTAGGGTAAGGGCCAAGGTGTTGTAACACAGAGTTAAGATGGGATCTGGGGCACATGGGTTCACAAGGTTAGGTACGGGAGCTGGACAAATTCCAGCAGGCCCCAGGGGCCAGGGCATTCTCACCTCTGCCGGGGCATGGCATGAAGTAGTCTCGGGCATCCAGAGGGTACCTGAGAGGTACCTTTCCCGTGACAGGGTTGAAACGCAGGAACTGGTTACCCTGGAAGCAGTAGTAGCGGCCGATCCATCGCAAGGCAGAGGAGCAGTTCCCTACATCTGGCCAGGAACGCTCCTTTTTGCTTCTCGTAGCAAAGTCCCAGAACCACTTGCGGTTACCTTTGTCCAATCAAGCAACGAGGATTCAGTGAGGTCAGGTTATGCTCACCCTGTGTTTGCACTGGGCACCAAGACATGCCCAATATGGTCCTGACCACATGGAGCTCACCGATCAGCAGGGAGACAGTTGAGGAGACTGAAAATTCCATAAAATACAGCAACAAAGTGCACATGATCAACTCAACAAGGGGAGGGGGAAGAGTCAGGGAAAACCTCCAGAGAAAGTGAAACAAACTGAAATTTAAAGCAGGGGAGATGGAACTCCAGAGAGAAGAAAGAGCCCAAAGCATGAAGCAAATTGTGTGTACAGAGAACAAGAGAACAGCATAGAGATTCTAGAGCTTAGTATTCAAGGTAAGGGTACAATAAAAGAAGAGGCTGGAGGGTCAATAGAGGCTTCATAAAGGACAGATTTGTATACCAGGCTAAGGAGCATAGATGTGTCCCAAGGGTCATAGGGAACTATGAGGGACTTTTAGCAAAATTATACCCAGTTTTCAAAAAAAGTTGCCATGGAGTTGATTCCAACTCATGGCAACCCCATGTGTTGCAGAGTAGAACTACACTCCATAGGGTTTTCAAGGCTGTGACCTTTCAGAAGCAGATCACCAGGCCTTTCTTCCAAGGTACCTCTGGGTGAGTTTAAACCACCAACCTCACAGTTAGTAGTCGAGCACTTAACCATTTGTGCCACTTGGGCCCCTTATACCCAGTTACCTTCCCCAACATGACTTCCAGTCACCCTCTCCTCCCCCTACTTGACCTCTAGACCGTAACTGGCTTTCTCTGTTTCTTCTCTTCCTTAGGAAGCCGTATATTGGTTCTACCAGCACCACCATCATTACCAATACCACCATCATTATTGACACCACCACCATGAGCATCACCAACCAGCCTAGGGTCTCAGATTCAAGTCTGGACTGACCTTGGAAGAAGAGGACACCCTCGTGTTGGCATTCTCCAAGGTGACATTCCACAGCTGCATCCAGTGGGGATGGGATTCCAGGAAATTCATCTTGGAGCAACTTTGGATATCCTTTCTCCTTCTTCTTTGGAGGGTACACCCAGACTTTGTCTCCCTGCATACAAAAGCACTATCTTTTTAACTCTGCACTCCCAGAAACTGCCACTCTGCATTCACACCCAGCACTTACACAATACCTTCCTACAGCCCCACACATTCTCAGTCCATCTGTGGGAAACAACATGTTGTCCCCTTGCACAAATACATACCCTCAGTTTGTGAAAACTCAGGCACTATTATCATAACACATGCACAAACACACGTCTGACTATGTACAATCAGACACTTCAGAGTCATGCACATCTGTAACACCATCAGTCTTGGCAAACAACATCCATAAATATTCATCCCCAAATCATCCATCCATTCATACATTCATTTGTTATTCATTCAAGAAACAGTTGCTGAATGGGTACTATATGCCAGGCGCTGTGCTAGCATGAGGTAAAGGGATGATAAGACCCTATCTTTGCCTTCAAGGAGTTCACCATACACAAGCAAGAAGAATCCATAGACTTCTAGCCATGGAACCATTAAGGTAGGGAGAATGCAAACTGCATCAGGAGTATAGGGGGAGTGCCTAGGTCTACCTAGAGAAGTCCCGGAAGGCTTCACCAAGGAGGAAACATTTTGGCCAAGAGTTTAAAGCAAAGACAAACAAACCCATCGACGTCAAGTCAATTCTGACTTATAGCAACCCTATAGGACAGAGTAGAACTGCCCCAATAGGGTTTCCAAGGAGCAGCTGGTCGATTCGAATTGCTGCCCTTTGGTCAGCAGCCTGTTATGGACTGAATTGTGCCCCCTAAAAATATGTGTCAATTTGACTAGGCCATGATTCCCAGTATTGTGTGATTGTCCACCATTTTGTCATCTGATGTGATTTTCTTCTGTATTGTAAATCCTACCTCTATTATGTTAATGAGGCAAGATTACAGGCAGTTATGTTAATGAGGCAGGACTCAATCTATAAGATTAGGCTGTGTCTTAAGCCAATCTCTTTTGAGGTATAAAAGAAGTGAGCAGAGAGACATGGGGACCTCATAACCACCAAGAAAGCAACACTGGGAGCAAAGCATGTCCTTTGGACCCAGGATTCCTGCACTAAGAAGCTCCTAGACCAGGGGAAGATTCATGGCAAGGACCTTCCTCCAGAGCCAAGAGACAGAGAAAGCCTTCCCCTGGAGCTGATGCCCTGAATTCGGACTTCTAGCCTACTACCCCCACGCAACTGTCAGTTTGTCGAACTGTGCGGACTTGTGTGTTGCTGTCATGCTGGAAGCTATGCCACCAGTATTCAAATGCCAGCAGGGTCACCCATGGCAGACAGGTTTCAGCTGAGCTTCCAGACTATGACAGACTAGGAAGAAGGACCCAGTAGTCTACTTCTGAAAAGAATTAGCCAGTGAAAACCTTATGAATAGCAGTGGAACATTGTCTGATATAGTGCTGGAAGATGGGCCCCTCAGGTTGGAAGGCACTCAAAAGATGACTGGGGAAAAGCTGCCTTCTCAAAATAGAGTCAACCTTAATGACATGGATGAAGTCAAGCTTTTGAGACCTTCATTTGCTGATGTGGCATGACTCAAAATGAGAAGAAACAGCTACAAACATCCATTAATAATAGGAACATGGAATGTACAAGGTATGAATCTCGGAAAATTGGAAATCGTCAAAAATGAAATGGAACGCATAAACATCGATATCCAAGGCGTTAGTGAGCTGAAATGGACTGGTATTGGCCATTTTGAATCAGATAATCATATGGTCTACTATGCTTGTAATGACAACTTGAAGAGGAATGGCATTGCATTCATCGTCAAAAAGAACATTTCAAGATCTATCCTGAAGTACAACGCTGTCAGTGATAGGATAATATCCATATGCCTACAAGGAAGACCAGTTAATATGACTATTATTCAAGTTTATGCACTAACCACTAAGGCCAAAGCTGAAGAAATGGAAGATTTTTACCAACTTCTGCAGTCTGAAATTGATCAAACATGCAATCAGGATGCATTGATAACAACTGGTGATTGGAATGTGAAAGTTGGAAACAAAGAAGGATAAGTTGTTGGAAAATATGGCCTTGGTGATAGAACGATGCCAGAGTTCACATGATAGAATTTTGCAAGACCAACAGCTTCTTCATTGCTAATACCTTTTTTCACCGACATAAAGGGTGACTACACACTTGGACCTCGCCAGATGGAATACACAGGAATCAAATCGATTACATCTGTGGAAAAAGGTGATGGAAAAGCTCAATATCATCAGTCAGAACAAGGCCAGGGGCAGACTGTGGAACAGACCATCAATTGCTCATATACAAGTTCAAGTTGAAACCGAAGAAAATTAGAACAAGTCCATGAGAGCCAAAGTACGACCTTGAGTATATCCCACCTGAATTTAGAGGCCTTCTCAAGAAGAGATTTGACGTGTTGAACACTAATGACCAGAGACCAGACGAGTTATGGAATGACATCAAGGACATCATACATGAAGAAAGCAAGGGATTATTAAAAAGACAGGAAAGAAAAAAAAGACCAAAATGGATGTCAGAAGAGACTCTGAAACTTGTTCTTGAACATAGAGTAGATAAAGTGAATGGAAGAAATGAAGTAAAAGAGCTGTAAAAGAAGATTTCAAAGGGCAGCTCAAGAAGACAAAGTAAAGTATTATAATGACATGTGCAAAGACCTGGAGTTAGAAAACGAAAAGGGAAGAACACGCTAGGCATTTCTCGAGCTGAAAGAACTGAAAAAAAATTCAAGCCTCGAGTTGCAATATTAAAGGATTCTATGGGGAAAATCTTAAACGTCACACTTAGGAAGCATCAAAAGAAGATGGAAGGAATGCACAGAGTCACTATGCCAAAAAGAATTGGTCGACGTTCAACTATTTCAGGAGGTAGCATATGATCAGAAACCAGTGGTACTGAAGGAAGAGGTTGAAGCTGCACTGAAGGCACTGGTGAAAAACAAGCCTCCAGGAATGGACAGAATACCAATTAAGATGTTTCAACAAATGGATGCACTGGAAGTGTTCACTTGTTTATGCTAAGAAATTTGGAAGACAGCTACCTGGCCAACTGACTGGAAGAGATCCATATATTTTGCCTACTCCCGAGAACGGTAGTGCAACCAAATGCGGAAATTATCGAACAATATCATTAACACCACGCGCAAGTAAAATTTTGCTGAAGACCATTCAAAAGCGGCTGCAGCAGTACATCAACAGGGAACTGCCAGAAATTCAAGCCGGATTCAGAAGAGGACGTGGAACCAGGGATATCATTGCTGATGTCATATAGATCTTAGCTGAAAGCAGAGAATACCAGAAAGATGTTTTATTGACTATGCAAAGGAATTCAATTGTGTGGATCATAACAAATTATGGGTAACATTGAGAAGAATGGGAATTCTAGAATACTTATTTGTGCACATGAGGAACCTGTACACAGATCAAGAGGCAGTTGTTCAAACAGAGCAAGGGGATACTGCATGGTTTAAAGTCAGGAAAGGTGTTCATCAAGGTTGTAGTCTTTCACCATACTTATTCAATCGGTATGCTGGGCAGATAATCCAAGAAGCTGGACTATATGAAGAAGAACGGGACATCAGGATTGGAGGAAGACTCTTTAACAACTTGCATTATGCAGATGACACAATCTTGCTTGCTGAAAGTGAAGAGGACTTGAAGCACTTACTGATGAAGATCAAAGACCACAGCCTTCAGTGTGGATTACACCTCAACATAAAGAAAATGAAAATCCTCACAACTGGACCAATAAGCAACATCATGATAAACAGAGAAAAGATTGAAGTTGTCAAGGATTTCAGTTTAGTCGGATCCACAATCAACACCCATGGAAGCAACAGTTAAGAAATCAAAAAACTCATTGTGCTGGGCAAATCTGCTGCAAAAGACCTCTTTAAAGTGTTAAAAAGCAAAGATGTCACCTTAAAGATTAAGGTGCGCCTGACCCAAGCCATGGTGTTTTCAATCGACTCACATGCATGCAAAAGCTGGATGATGAATAAGGAAGTCCGAAGAAGAATTGATGCCTTTGAACTGTAGTGTTGGTGAAGAGTCCTGAATATACTATGGACTGCCAAAAGTATGAACAAATCTCTCTTGGAAGAAGTACAACCAGAACGCTTCTTAGAAGCAGGGATGGCGAGACTATGTCTCACATACTTTGGACATGTTATGAGGAGGGATCAGTCCCTGTTGAAAGACATCATTCTTGGTAAAGTAGAGGGTCAGCGAAAAAGAGAAAGACCTTTGATGAGATGGATTGACACAATGGCTGCAACGATGGGCTCAAGCATAACAACGATTGTGAAGATGGCGAAGGACTGGGCAGTGTTTCATTCTGTTGTACATAGATGGGGTCGCTATGGGTCGGAAACGACTCAACAGCACCTAACAGCAACAGCTTACTAGACTATGAGAGAATAAACTTCTGTTTGTTGAAGCCATCCACTTGTGGTATTTTGTGTTATAGCAGCACTAAATAATTAAGACACAGCCATAGCTCTTAACCTCTGTGCCACCAGGGCTCCAAGAGTTGAAAAGTGAGCAGCAATTTTCCAGGTGGACAAGTGAGGAAAAGGTGTCACCAGCAGAGGGAGCAGCATAAGAGGGAGCCCAGACAAAAGGAAGCATAGTGTGCTCAGAGAATGTATATAATCTCATGTGGCTGGCACACAGTTAATCTGGCAGGGAAGGAGATAAACCTGGAAAGATAACCAAGGGTCAGATCATGAAACCTTGTGTATACCTGGCTTGGAGTGTGTATACCTGGTTTATGGAGCAGTTCTACTCTGTAACACATGGGGTGGCCGTGAGTCAGAATCAACTCAACGGCAATGGGTTTGGTTTTATTTTTTTTGGAACATCTAAGTTAGAGATGTCTGCTAGGAAATTGGAAAGAGATGTCTGGAGCTCAGGAGAGAGATCTAGATCAATGTCAACAGCATAGAGTCCTCAGAGCCATGGCAGTGATTGAGATCACCCAGTGAGGGTATCAGCGGCCTAGGACAGATCCCTGAGAAAGATTCGGGGATTGGCAGAGGATGAGAAGCCTAAGAAGAGCAGGGAAAGAGGCAGGAGGGAAAGCAAAGTTTGTAGTCAAGGCTGCCTCAAGCATACGGCACCCATGTACAAGTGAGAAGAAGGCACCCCTTCCTCTGAGCACTGGGCCAGGGCTTGGTGAGCAGAGTGGGCTGGACTTCATCCTCCACTTGTCCTTTGGCCAGGTTCCATTGTGCTGTGAACAACCTGCCCAGCCATATGAGCAGGACCTGAATGCAGTGGCATGAAACCCAGGAAAGAAAGTGTCAAAAAGGAAAGAATGGCCAACAGTGTGAGGTGTAGCAGAGAGGTCAAGAACTAAGATTAGGAATGAAGAACAGCCACTGGATGTGTGGTACCTGCCCTGTCCACAAGCAGGCACACTCCCTTTGCCAGATCATCTGCAGGAAAGAAAGGCACAGATGGAGGAAACCTGGTACCTATTGGTATGGGCTCTGTGGCAGGGCCACTTGGGGGAAGGCCTCTAGGGTAGATTTGCGCTCACCCCGACCTTGGCCCAGCAGTACCTTGATCAGGAAGACGCTGTCGTGACCATGGCGAAATGCAGCATCCACCGGGCCAGTGAAATTCTGCCACTGTTCTGAGATTAACTCTCGGGCCCATTTGTGACTCTTCCACACAAAGTCCCCTGAAAAACCCACATTTGCTCAGGGATCCAGAACAAACATTTGGCCTACAGAGATAGTTACAGAGAAGCTGTGAGTGATACCTCAGATAATTCCTAAGACCGCACACAGATGGATAACCCCTCTGTGAAGGGGACTTAGTCTGAGGCCTCCAAATGCCCCAACACAGCCCCTCTTACCTTCAAAAAACAGCATGGCCCCACTGTCATCCAGGGTGGTAGCATCAGGGCCCCAGCCATCAGAGCATCGTTCTGAGGGTGGGAAGGGGTATGGCAAAGTAAAAGCCCAGTCAGATGATAAAAGACAGAACCATAGCCAGACAGATAGACTGACTCAGGGAGTTGGGGCCTCACCAAGGACATCTGGGTCCTGCTTGGTTCCATTCCCACCTTCAGCTCCATTCCCAGAGGCACTAGTCCTAGAGAGAAAACAGATGTCTGGGTGCACTGTGACCAACCACTCTCTCTTAGCTCTTGACTCCAAACCTAAAACAGACTAGTTGCCGTCGAGTAGATTCCAGCTCATGGCAACCCCATGTGTGTCAGAATAGAACTGTGCTTCACAGGGTTTTCAGTGGCTGATTTTTCAGAAGTACATCCTCAGGGCTTTCTTCCCAGGCATCTCTAGGTAGACTTGAACTTCCAACTTTTTGGTTAGCAGCTGAGCACGTTAACCGTTTGCACCACCCAGGGACTCCTACCCCAAATTTACCCCAGGCCTAAAAAAACTGACCCTATCCCACCTTAGCCCAGACCCCAGTCCTCCAGCCCTAGTGCCAGCTTTACTCACGAAGCAAGAGGGTGGGTGATGGCCAGAGACCAGCACAGGCCCAACAACCCCAGCACAACAGGTGCGCCCGGTGCCTGAGCCATGCTGAGCTGGAGAGGTCACAGGACAGCTCTACGCCCGGGGTTGAACTCCCTATATAGTGATGGCAGCAGTGCCACCCCCACCTCCAACCCTAGTGGGAACGAGCTTCCTCCCAGGACTATTCCAATATTGGCTGATTACATCATTGCAAATAAGGTCAGAGTCTGGACAGAAGTCTAAGTCCAGGACTCCCCCTTCCTGGCATTGTTACCCCATCCCCCTTCTGCAACTTTCAAGCAGTGACTAGCCCATAACATTGATGCCCAGCTGTGACTCCCGTCATCTTGGTGATGGGTCGGATGCCCATAAAGACAGGGAAGGGGGTAGACTGATTGAAGATCATCTTTATGTGGTTTGATGTACCTCTACAATGTAGGAAGGGAGAAGAGGAGGGAACTAGCTTTTTTTAAAAAAAAAAAAAATCCTTTATTTCTAGTTTTAATCTTTTTCCTTTTTTTATAATTATGATTATATATATAATAAAACATTTGCCATTTCAACATTTTTTACACGGTCAATTCACTGACATTACATTCACTATGTTGTGCAACTATAACTGCTATCTGTCCCCAAATGTTTTCGTCGCCCTTAACAGAAACTCAGTGCCCTGTAAGCAATAACTCCCCTTTTCTACCGCCTTTCCACTCCCTGTTAACCACTAATAAAATGTAGTCTGTATACATTTGCCTATTCTAAGTATTTTATACAATATGTGTCCTTTTGTGTCTGACTGACTTTACTCAACATGTTTTCAAGGTTCATCCATGTTGTGAGCGTGTATCAGAACTTCCTTTCTCTTTATAGCTGAGTAATATTCCACTGTATGTATATACCACATTTTGTTTATCCACTCATATGTTGATGGACACATGGGTTGTTTCCACCTTTTTGGCTATTGTGAATAGTGCTGCAATGAACACTAGTGAACAAGTATCTGTTTGTGTCCCTGCTTTCAAGTCTTTTGGGTATATACATTGGAGTGGAATTGCTGGATCATATGGTAATTCTATGTTTAACTTTTCGAGGAACCACCAAATTATTTTTCACAGAGATCATTTTACAGTCTCACCAGAATGAAAGAGGGTTCCAATTTCTCCACATGGTCACCAACACTTGTTGTTTTCTGATCACAGCCATCCTAGTGGGGGTGAAGTGGTACCTTATTGTGGTTTTGATTAGCATTTCCCTAATGACTAATGGGAGTCCCTGGGTGTGCAAAGGGTTTAACGCACTTGGCTGCTAACAGAGGGTTGGAGGTTTGAGTCTACCCAGAGATGCCTCGGAAGAAAGACTTGGTGATCTTCTTTCTAAAAATCAGCGCTTGAAAACTCTATGGAGCGCAGTTCTACTCTGACACACATGGGATCGCCATGAGTCAAAATGGACTCGATGGCAACTGGTTTGTTTTGGTTTGGAATGACTAATTGTGTTGAGCATCATTTCATGTGCTGTTGGCCATTTGTATCTTCTTTGTTGAAATTTCTATTCAAGGCCTTTGCCCACTTTTTGATTGTTTGTCTTTTTATTGGAACTAACATTTTTGTGTACGAAGTGTCAAGCCCTGCTGTAGAACAGTTACAGCTAGAGACACTGATATTTGTATACACTTAGTAACCACACATGCAGATAAACATACTACTTAGGAATACTCTGAGAATAGCCTTTTTCTAAGCACCATCCAGGGCCTTTCTGGGACATCCCCATGTCTCTTCAGCTTTGCCCTTGGACTAGTGATTTTGAGTCAATAATATCTCACCATTGCCAAATGCCCAAGCTCCACCTCCACCCTCACCCCCACCCTCGCTGACAAAGTGCTTTGCAAAAATCCCCTGGAAGGGAAGGTCTGACAGTAATGGGCCCAGAAGAGGAGGTGTCGCTCTTCCGGAGAGCACTACTAATAATTAGTCTTTCTGGGTAGTTTCCACCTTAGGGAAAAAGTGTTTTATTTACCCATCACAGAATAAACAGAAATGTTACTGAGGTTTCACAATATTAGCAGCTAATTCCTGCTTAAATACTATCTTTTCGAAGAAGCCTTTGTTGACCACCTTATCTAGACATTTCAGGCTCTTGCTTCTTTTATGTCACTTATTACAACTTGAAATTATTTCATCTGTCTACTTGTTTTATTTTGCCTGTCTTGTTTGCTATTATATTCTCATCACCTAAAATAGTGCCTGGTATAATAGGTGCTCAATAAGTATTTGTTGAATGAAAAAAATGGATTTCAAATATAACTAGTGTTGTTAGTGTTGCAGTCAAATTTCTGACAATTTTCCTCCCCCTGGAGTGAGAGGAATGTTAGGAATTGGGGTTACCTTGTGATGGAGCCATCTTAGGTCCTCTTGTCATTGTCCTCCATTGTATGGTCCTGTTTCTCTCTCAAGTGTCTCAGCCCCACATCCCTCTCCTCCACAAGCCCTAGGATCTCACCTGCCATCATCCAGGTGAGGTGTAGGCCTCAGTACTCCCTGGGGGCCACTCCCAAAGCCTGCCCCATTTCCATCTGTGATTTGGTGACTGGGTCAGAAGACAAATATGAGTAGAGTCAGCTATAGGCCAGGCTGAGGTTCGAGGACCTCTGCTCCCTAGCCCAGCCTGAAAGGACTCTGATATCTCCCTATATAACCTTAGTAAAGGTCTCAGATCCCTTTTCTACTCTGTAAAGTTTCCTCCCAACCAGAAAACAAAGATTTCTGGGACCTCTGGAACACCATGGCACCAGGCCTCCGCCGTCAGGCTCAATGTTCTCTCCTGGTTTACTAATGAAAACGTACCTTGTTAGGATCATTCCCTCCTCACAGGTAAGTGGGCAAAGTCAAATTCCTTGAGCCCTTGGCAGCATGGGCAATGACATAGCTGCTACAGCAGATGCCCAACACTCACCTTCTCCTACTGCAGGGCATCTCTGGCTGACCTGCCCCCAACCCAGCTGCTGGGCACTGGTAGTTTCTGCTCCCAGACTCTCCCTGCACCCTCTTTTCTTTCCCTTCCAGCCTCTGAAACCTGAAATAACCCTCCCTCCATCTATGATGACATCCTTTCTGGGACTCTCCCTCCTGAGCACACAGTGACTCTCCATCAGCAATCCCCTCAGCAACTGGTCTCCAGCTGCCAGAGCCCTGTTTACAAATTTCACCGAGGCACCAGTGCCACCTGAGTCTCCCTGGGGAGATGGAAGCTTTGCACCAAGTCAAAACATCCCCCAGAAAACCCATAGTGAGGGTCTTTAAATCCTCCTAGTAGGGCCCTACACTGACCCACTGGCCTAGTGGAACTCTTTGGACGAAATAGCACATATACTGGGTGATGGTTTTTCAGCTTGGCCTCTTCTTTCCAAATGCTCTGGTCTCCTTCATAGCATCCCTGGATCTATCATTCCTGGAAGAGTGCTTTATGGCCCCCCCTGTTATGCTTAAGATTATGTGTCAACCTGGCTGGGCCATGATTCTCAGTGTTTTGGCAGTTGTATAATGTCGTGGTCAGTTCCATGTTGAGATTTGATATGTGATCAACCCCATGATGGGATCTGCTGTGAGTAGCCAATCAGATGAAAGGGAGTTTCCTTGGGCGTGTAGCCTGCATCGAATACAAGCAGACATTCTGGCAAAGGCTGGTGGCTTTTTGCTCGTGCTGGATCCTGCAGTTGGCTCCTGTTTGTGGACTTCAGCTAGCAGCTTACCTGCAGTCTTGCCTGCCAATCTTGGGATTCATTGATCTTCACAGCCTGTGAGCAAGAGCCCTGCTGTCTGACCTGCAGATCTTGGGTTCACCAGCCCCTGCGGCTACGTTAATCAGGAGAAACCTCTATCCTGACCCACGAACTTGGGACATTCCAGCCTGTACAACCATGTGAGCCATTTCGTTGATATAAATCTCTCTCTCTCTATATATATATATATATATATATTTATACACTTTACTGGTTTTTCTTCTATGGAGAACCCAGCCTAAGACAGCCCCTTTTGCTATTGTTTCCAAATTTACTTCTCCACCCCAGGGTGGCTTACATACCATTATCAGAACCTCCCTCTCCCCAGGGACTAGGCCAGCAGGGTCTTCTGCATTGCAGATGGCCCAAGTTGAAGCTCAAGTTCTGAGCAGTTGCTGAGAGGCAGAGGACTATGTTCATTTGGGAACCCAGGCTATAGGTATGCCAGTCATTCTGGCACTGGCCATGGGGCACAAGGCAACTCTTTTCAGAGGACCCCAGGAAGGGGTGACCTTGCTTCTCTTCCCTTTGTTTGAGGCTGCTTCTCGTCCTGAGTCTAACCCTCTGGCCTGGGCTGAAGGGAGAGTGTGTGTCCATACTTGGACATGAGTGCCCCCTGGAGGCCAAAGGAATCAGTGAGCTCCCACCCTTCAACCTGAAGCTAGAGCCTGAGTTTTTCTTGAACAACCTTCATAGCCTTCCTCCCTCACCCCTCTCAGCCCTGGCTGTAGGGTCTCAGTAGCTCACCCCCTTCGATGCTCCTTCCCCTTCCTCTGCAAACCTGTGCTGCCCAAAGTGTGTTTGAGCACCTCAGTCTCTTGCTTGATTTCCTGGGGAATTCAATCCCAGGGAAGTTTAACTAGCTCCTTTTTCATATAGTCTGGCACTTCTCAATCCTCCTAACCAGCAGCTGACTTCCTTCAGGTAGGGTCTCAACGTGGGCGTGTATATGTCTTCATGGACAGAGCTTCTTCCTGCATTGCCAGGGGTCAGATTTAGGTTGGACACTGATCCACTGCCTTTCAGAATGACTGTGCCCAGACCTGAGCTCTCTGACCTCACCCATTTTCCCTGGGGCCCACTGAGGGTGGCTGGCTGTGCTGGGCCTGTTACCTGTGGCTATGTGCTTTAGGGAGCAGAGGCAGGGTTTCCCTTCCCCAGGCTTAGATGATTTAGGGACAAAGCTCCAGGCAACCAAAAAGAGCATTGCTGTACCCAACTGATCTCTGCAGCATGCACATTTTCTTTTGCTCTAAAATTAGGAGCCCGTTCTTGCTTCTCTATGAATAA